AAAATGCATTGAAATCGCACATTTTCACCATTCCGGACCCGTATCTCAGTTATGCATCGATGGATTTTGTTCAAATTTGGTACATACATTAAACATAATAGGACCTTGATGCACGTCTTTTTTTTTCGGATCAAGTTCGAAATGGCCGACTGGCGGCCATTTTGTTAAAGAATTCAGTTCTGGATTCGTATCCAAGACATGTCTGGATTGATCAAGTTCAAACTTCACACACACATGGTACATCATGTCACAAATAGATATGTGCATTTGTTTCATGATCTGCTTAACAATAGCGGAATGATGGCCATTTTAAGGCCGAAAATGCATCAAAATCACGTATTTTCACAATTCCAGAACCGGATCTCAGTCATGCATGGATGGATTTTGTTCAGATTTAGCACAATGTGTTGTACATATGCAGGTGCATTTCGGTCATGATCTGCTTTGAATGTATATGTCACTCAAATATGAACGGAACGGGGACGTGTCATTGACAATGACTTGTTTTTTTCGAAACACCGCTCTGTCGACCGATCTCGGAATTTTATTTATTTATTAACACACAAAATCCCCCGGAGGGGATGAAAAGGGTTACAAATCAGATATTAGTAAAAGAAAAATAACTACACAAAAAGTAAGGGAACAAAAAAGTATTAAAAAAAGATAAAAATTTGTATACAAGGAATGTGTTACTGGCTTAGTTTATGTAGGTGCTGCTGTCTTGTATTAAAACAGTTTTTTTTTAAATATTGAATAAGACATTGCTCCCAAATAAAGCTGAACTACCCTCTCTCTTATTACAGCAGGTTTTTCCACACCTTGCTTATCCATTGCAACGACCTATAATAGTTGCCTCGATACTGACATGAAACTCAACTGACGGAAGTTTTAAATTTTAGTAGCGTCGCCATGGTGTCTATCGAAATGAACAAGCCTTGCTACATTTTAATTTTGTTGTTGTTGTTGACCTGTCAATCACGCCTTTGATAATTACCGGGTTGTTGCCAACATTTTGAACAGATGAAGTAAATTTCAAAACAAACTGCCTGACCAATTGTAACGACTTATCAACATCTGACTGCAGTTCTTCGTGTAATTAAGGGGTGAAAGGGGTGTAACTCTGATACCATAATAAACTGTTTTTTAACGACTTTGATATTACTATTAACACCTGAACTATATCTGCTGTATATCTGGTGTGTTACTCTGCCCCCTGCGATTCATGTGTGGAATCCCGTAGTTTACTCCGAACTGCCAAGCTAAGTCGTTCAGCTGAATATTCCCCACATACTTGGTAAAGTCGTATGGTTGTAAATAAACTAGGCGTACACCTGTAGTCTCTCCACTCAACTACGATTACTATTTATTGTCACGCAGTACTTTGCTCGTAAAACAATAACTTTAGGAAACAATGCACACGCGGCTGACTACGGTAGAATGCAGTACGAGCCTAGCCTGAGGCAGGTTTGTACGCCATATACTAACTAAAGTGCCCGCATTTCCAATAACTACATGTATTATACCTACCCGCTTTGTTGTCGATAGTAACAATGAATACTTGACAGAATTTCGACCGAGTGAAATGTTTGATTTGGAAAATGAAGTTAACAATCTTGAAATCAGTGGGTCAAAATTGACTAGAAAGTTTTGTCCGGCGAATCTTCCTAGTGACACCACACCCTTTGTTTTTTTTTTACGATACTAGCAATTTGTCAAAGATGATGAGGATTTAGACTGAATTAGACGATAAACGTACCCCTGACACCTGTAAAAGATGCATTATCGAAATCTGCGCCTTAAAATCCCTTGTCTGGCAATTGTACCCCGATGGCACTCCACTAACTTGTCACGAAGTTTTAAGTTGAAATCTAAGCTATGCGAAGTCCTGAACGCCTGTTTAAAATGCATTTTCGGATTCCGCACCTTCAAATGTACCCCAAGCTGGTTTGGTATATCATCCCTCTAGATTACCCCTCCACCTCTTATGGAAGGTGTAACAATAATTTACAGAAAAAGGGGTGTTAAAGTGGAATCGCACCTGTGAGCGCATTACATATACACAACCCCAAAATAACGAAACGTTGGTATGGCAAATTCACCCTCATACAAACTTCACAAGATTACTCTAAACCCATCTTTCAAAACCCTGTCATCAGCTTTTGAATACAATAAATCCACATAATTTGATTTATGTGGCGCTGCGATAACCTTTAATATGAAAATAACTATCCACGCATCTCCTGTCTTCTTTAAACTCACATTTTCTTAAAGCGGGGGATTCGTCAGCTGCGCATGCGTCAGATGGCCATAGCGTGTCGTTGTTTACAAACAAGCGTCTACCCCTGAGCCTTTGCGTTTTTACGTGTCGTGTTATCGTCGCTTGGGACTCAATTCCCACGCGTGTGCAGGTGACGACCCTCCCGCTTCAACTGTAACTCAATTATTTAAGAGAAACTATTTAGAGGTTATTCCCTTCTAATTGGTCGATTTTTAAATATTAAATCAAATACATTTCTAAATAAAACTTTCTTCTACGAACGCAAAGAAATTTAAAGGACGTGGTCATCGCGTTGCGCATGTGCGACATTTGTGTTGATTTTCCCACAATTCAATCCACTCTACTAATGAAAATCACAAGTATGAGTTGACTTGGGCGTGACTTGCACTAATTACAATTGTTAAGTTGACAAACTCTTTTAACCAATCATTATCTATGGCTGTGACGTGTGGAGTGATGAAAGTTAAATTGACACCTACATCGAAGAAGTATACCTCACAATCAGATTTGTCTCTTTTTTTTCTCTAAATATTAATATCTCTAATAAAAAAAATGGATGTTGGCAGTGAATTGGGAAGATATCCGATTCTTCTTCACTCAAAAACAAATATATGAATAGAATAGCCAACTCCAGTACATGCTCGTATACGAGGCACTCTTGGTTAACAAACACATGAAGAGGAAATGGTACATGAAAATGAAATCTATTTTAAAGATACAAATTACCAAGAAGTAGTATAAGTACTGGAAAAAATTAAATGCATGATGACATTAGGAGAAAGCGTAACGGAAATATAAGAACCTAATAACTGTTAAAAATAGCTTAGAGGATTACTTGACAAAAATTGAAAATATTGAATTCCGAGAATTACTTGTAAGTTCCGTCAAACAGGACGCCATACTCGGTTACTAGCATGTGAAAGGGCGTGTCTTCTCTGTAACAGATTGAAGATGAACAACATTTTGTGATTGTTCGCCCTGTCTATGCTCAACTAACCGCAGACACAGTATACACTGTACATTGTATTCATCGAAGCAATGAAAACATTCAAAAAGTCAATAAAATTCAACTTGTCATGACGACAAATTCAGATTTATCTTAGCAATAAATCAATTTCTTTAGGCTAATATTTGGGAATTTGTTTTGAATCTAGACAGCAACACCTCCCAGATATTGATGTCACCTAATCACCTTGCAAATTATTGAATTTCTGTCTTTTTCATTGTAACTTTTTGTCTTGTTTTGGGTGTGCATTGTATCCATTATCACCCATTGAGTTAAATGGTTAAAAAAAAATGTAAATTCAATTCTTTTGGGCCAACTTGACTTAAAAAAGACAAGATTTAAAAAACAGAAATATTGATTCAATTATCATATTCTCACCGTTATATTGTAAAAGGCCCACTAGCTCCGCGTGTTTTGTTCAGAAGTATTGTTTTACGACATTTTTTTTTATATCGAAGGAATTCTGAAGTACTATACTAGTTTCCATTCCTCATCTACGATAAGTTTAATTCTCTCTCATTATCTTATTATTGAAGGTTGCTGTTCCCAGTTCTTACAAACTTTAATTTCTTTAATGTATTCCATTATTTTTTTAATTATCTTTGTTTGTTGTAGCATGCAGTGAAGCATTCTCGCCGCCAGAGTTTATTTTCGCTTCGAGACTGCCGTAAAAGAGGCCGTGGCGTACGACGATGGCAGTGAAGCTAAAAAAGGGAAGCGAACTCCCTCGAATGCCACTTTTTCCACGACTTCTGTCCACTAAAATAGCAGATTTACCGGGCTACTTATCAAACGTGACTTCAAATTGAACGCGAAAGCTCTGTAACCGCGAGATCCCCAATTTATATTTATTTTCCAATAATTTTTCATCGGAATCGCAACAGACTGCAAGCAACTCTAACTTCAACGTCGTGTTTACAACAAAAGTCTACGTAAACAACAGGAAATTTAAAAAGGGCGTTCACAGCGATTTTGTCGTAAACTCTAACTAAGTTAACTGACTTGCACTTTAAAGGAGCAGAAATGATAAAATAACACAAACAACATTTCAGCTAAAAATAGTTGTTTTTGTCTAAAAATAAAAGACCACGTGTTTAAAAAATGACCGAAACTCCTCACAACTTCAGTTTGCCAAAAGTTCTTAAACTTCTATGGTGTATACAAAACAATTCTTTTATTGTCTTGAGATTTTGGAAACAGTCAATGCGATGTATTCCCAGTCATTATGATCACATCTCCACAATGCAAGTATTTCCACCACAAATCCCCTCCCACTTCACACACACCCGTGACGCTAGAAGTCAGCGGGATGAAAGCGGGCTAACGTATACAAATGTTGTATCTAGATTCCAAATGACTATATGATTTCAATGAAGTATTTTATTGTTAACGAAAGAAAAAATAGCTAAAACAAGATACCAGTAATCAAATAGGATTAAACTGCAGTCCCTCTATCGACGGACCGTCACTTCGTTAATCTCCCTTTTTAACGCCATGGTTATAGAACGTGTAAAATAATTTTGAGTAAAATAAACAAAGGACGAGACAAGGCCTTGATTTCATGCGGTTTTACTCCCCTATTTTTTTTTTTTTCAAGAATAAATTGATCTCATACATTACTATTCTAGAGCTTTATTTTAGGATTTTCCGTTTTTTAGGACTACCGACCGTATCCCAGTAAGTTAGGTGGTACAGATGACGTCACTATGTCTAAAAGGGAGGAGAGTTTAATAGCGATGTTTTATTGTGAGTGACGAGACCAATCCGTAATACAGAGAATCGTATTGAACACCAATTTACCATTTGAAAAACTATTCACCGTTGAAGGTGAGTTTTAACAGTTAATTGATTTGATCTACACAAGTGCGTAGATGAAGAATACCTCGAGGTCCTCCCAGTAAATCCAGCGCCTGTGAGTAAATCGCCATTCTTGGATCTGTGACCGTACATTTACGGAGCTAAAAAGATAAGATCATTTTTTTTTTAGTAACCGTTCTGAGATGTACATTTTGCTAAAACTCGCTTTCTTTGTTTTTTGAAGACTATACATTGATGGAAAGAGTTAGGCCCCACCCCTAACCTTTACCCTAATTATAACAATCTAGCCCCCCCCCCCCTAATGTAAAATATGCCCCTCCAGATATCTACTGTAATGCACTGAAATAGTTGCATGTTATTTTAGTGAAGTTATTTTCGTAACATTCTGGCTAAAATGACATGTTTTACAGTATGTGCCATCATGATGGAGAGGACCATATACAATTAAAATGGGGGGGGGGGGGCACTTGAGGGGCAAGATTAGGATTAATTAGTGTAACCGGCCGTTAACACGGATGTCCAAATGATGGTCACCACACTGTATTATCATTCGCAAACGACTTATTTATTTATTAAAAAAATTCGGCTAGCAGCATAGCTTTATAATTACTGGTAAACAAATCATGGATTTTAATTAAAGTCAGTCGTATCCATGCAGAGTGCGCGTCACCTAAGGAGAATATACTGACTAATTGTAATTAAATGACTAGTTCACCTTGCAGGTAAACAAGTTAGATTAGAGTGGCCAAATCCAATTAACCCATTTTATTTCCGAATAACTTCAGGTACACTCTCACACATGTAATGGTACGCGATAGTGTAACTACTAGTCCCAATAATGGCTATACAATAATATGCAAGACAATGTTGCCCAAATTATGGTAATTAATATGCACACAGGTACATGTAAAACCCATGATTAGATACCATTCATAGTAATAAAGCGTTACATGTTTAAAATTATTAATGTAATATAATAATTATAATTTACATATCAGTTCACTATAATTTCTCCATGTGTCGGTTATAATTGTGACAGCAAGGCTGTTATCCATCCTGGCAGTACAGTTGTTTTAACAACCTTCAAGATCCTAGTTATCCGTATTCAGAGGTCAGTGTGTACCAATTTCCCTTACGTGGGAACTTCTCATTACGACGCAAAAATTACAGCCCAAAAGCTCTACAACATAACTTAAATTTAAGTCTTAAGGGCAAGCTTACAAAATTTTCCTAGTGTCAAAATCATGATCACAAATGGTTGAAATAGCAGTATATAAGATGTTCAATAATACAAGGTTATTACGAGGATACCTCAAAGTATGCACGAAGACAGTACAGCGTCAGTATCGACCGACGTGCAGCGGAGGTTGATGCGACAGCGTACTGTCTGAGTGCATACTTTGAGGTATCTTCGTGATAACCTTATTATTATACATCTTTTCCTACCAAGGATACATCATGGGAATGCCAAAATCTAAAAAAGTTTAGAACAGAATCAGCGAACTTCTTTGTATGAAGTCCAGTCAAACCCTGGTGGTGGCAGCCATGTTTGTTTTTATTATTAGAGGACGCTTACGCGTGTAGTTATTCCATATTTGGAATTCGCATTTCCTAATATGGTAGTATGAAAATACCCCGTAAAATACCGCAAAATTACGGCACGCTGTAACTTATGGCGTTACGGTGACAGATGTATAATAATATATATTATAAACTAATCACTACAAAACTGAGTAATGACATCATTCAACGTTCTCAAATAAGACAGAAAAGTGTTACGAGTTTACAAAGTATGGCATGGAAATGCGCCACATATTTTGAAGCTCCTATGTGGCATTAGCGAGGTGTTCAAATTGAACTTGATGAATATATAATTGTATGAGTTGCATGCAAGTAAATATAACTTTTGGTAAAAGAAACTGTTTGCTAAATACCCAAATTTAAATTACCGATCATGTTATAGATGTATTCGATATCTCTAAATATGGACAAGTACATGTTTGATGATCAGATACAAATGTCAATCATTTTAATGTTAAACAATCATCATAATCATATTCCTGATATGTTTTTGTTCCAACTATATTACTATAAACAAAACTATGTATATATAACGCATACCAGTACAATGGTAGTATTTCAAACAGTTTTAACAAATTCACGAGATCAGCAAGAGTTATCTCCATTACACCTCGACTTACGTAAAACAGCACACTGGAGTCGGGATTCAGCAATTAGGCCATTGCAGATTTGAGTCAGGTTGAGTTTTTGTCAGAGGATTTCTAACATTATAACTATATATACATATTACACCTCGATTATTGGTATGTATGTTGAAAAAGGGTGTCTAAATGCAATTACAGTCAAATGCTATTTTTGGCCTTGTGTATGTAGAATAGGAGTTCTTACACTTTTTAGTCAATGAAATGTCAAGGTTTGAAAATTTAGAGGTGAATGGTGTTCTTCCTCCTCAACTATTGAAAACTGTGAACTTGGTTTTGGGAGTCAGTACCAATATACCCCGCTCTATGAGGGATTTGGTTGGGATAGCTATATGCAAATAAAGATGGACAACAGTGCACTGAATAGAGCCATTTGTGGTTATGAAAATGATGCAGTGTAGGTGAATTGTATGCATTTATTTTGTGTTTTTGTTTGTCAGATTGTCATGCTAAAAGTTGTTAATTGCACCTTATAGTTGTGCTGTATCAATTAAAGGCAGGGGTCGAAATATCTGGTGCACACTGCACTATGCACATAGATTATTAGCTAGTGCAAGTATAATCAAAATATAATGTGCACACTGCACTATGCACATAGATTATTAGCTAGTGCAAGTATAATCAAAATATAATGTGCACACTGCACTATGCACATAGATTATTAGCTAGTGCAAGTATAATCAAAATATAATGTGCACGCTGTGTATGTAGAAATTAACACAACATTTTCTCATTATACTCACTAAGCCTAAATTAAGTTCAACCAACATTGTAAGACAACTAAAAAAAGCAAATTCTTTCGTGATCACATCAATAGAGAACCCGTAAATTTTGTTTAAACTTTAAAAGTGGTGCATTTCACAAGTTAGTGCAGGTAAATTTCAAATTCAACATGCACACTATGCATGCAGGGAAAAAAATTCTATTTCAATCTCTGAAAGGGGAGCAGAGGTCTGGCTTTTGACACTCTGTACATGAAATTGGAGATGCCGATTTCTCGCAACCAACGTGATTTTTTTTATTTGGGATTTCGAGAAACTTAACATGAATAGTTATGGCATTCATACGCACAACACCTCCAAGTTTTAACTTTTATGTTGTCAGTTAACCAGGCCTTTCATAGTAGCATTTCTATGGGATTGACGTACTAGAATGAATGGGTTCAATATTCACTGGTGACGTCATTTGACTGGCCCTCTAGAGACGAAATGACGCCAGGCCAATCGGTCATTTGTCATCTCCTTCACAGCCAGTTTTATACCCGATATTTAGGGTATTTCACAGCAAATACAAGTTGTTTTTATCGACAGAATTCATTCATAGATCTCAAATTTCATGTACAGACTCTCAAAAACCAGACCTTGGCTCCCCTTCAAGTGCAACAGCTGCACTTCACATTTGAAAGCAACTGATCATACTGTACAATGTAAATGTTACTGTTGTATGATACTTGAAACCACACTGTTACTCATAACTAAACAATCATGGACTTAAAATTGTTTTTGCAGTCCTTATTTTTTCAGAACATTCAAATGTATGCATCACTAATGTTAAATAAATATACAGACTGTATTTAGGGTTAAGTTTACAAAATAACATTTGCGTGAGAACATACTTAAAGCGCGGTGGTTGTCGTGCAGCGCGTGTTCAAATTTCATGTAAATAAACAATGTATTTTACACGCATTGTATACATCGCTATGAGTCCCATATCGAACAGGACGCGGCACGATGACTGCCACCCTTTAAAAACAGTCATCCTCATGCACGTGAGAATTATGCCATGTCTGGTTGTTAAAATTTACGCGAGAACATACTTAAAAACAGTCATTCTTAATGACTACGGTGTCACCTTTGAACTGTACTGTTACATGAGAACACGTGTAAAAATACCCATTCTCGCATGCACACGCGAGTATGGTCGATTTCCGTTCCAACTCGTGTATGTGAGAATTACGTGAGCATGGTCATTTTGGCATTTTAAATACCTTGAAATATTAATACTTTCCATACCCTATGAATACATTCAATTAATAGTATTTTATAATGATTATTGTATTTTTTTCCCGTCATATTTGCTCATTTTAAGATAGCTCCATTTTCAGTTCTTGTCGAGTGATATTTTGTACTTCAAAATTATTGACCCCCGGTAATGCGGACGCAAGTCTCTCTAAAATTAGGTCATTTTATGTCTCAGATTTTCTGTTTTGCTTCCTACATTTAGGTAATTGGAAACTCAGTATGCAGCAGCAGCCTGGGCCAATGGTACAACAACCTGTTGGGGTAGTGCAGCAGCCTGTACCAGGAGTCCAACAGACCGGAGTAAGAATAGGATTTGCACATAAGACGATCACTAGTTTCGGTATCGCTCTGATTATATTGGGTACATTGGCTATTATATTTGGTATCGTACCGATAAGCATTGGTTGTTTTCCCACATCATATATTGGCACTGGGATTTGGACAGGAATTTTTGTAAGTTGATAGTTTTACCTCTGTTGCTCATACAATTCTTTTGTTGACTTAATTTAGAGGTTAGAAGGTGGGCAAGCATGACATGCTCTATTCATAAAATGTGTATACATACTGACTGACAATGAGGGCAATAGTATCACATGCTGACTGACAATAACAGCATAATGACAGACATTGAGGGCAATAACATTTCAGACATTGAGGGCAATAACATTTCAGACATTGAGGGCAATAACATTTCAGACATTGAGGGCAATAACATTTCAGACATTGAGGGCAATAACGTCATATGACAGACATTGAGGGCAATAACGT